CGGACGGAGGAGCGGATTAGCTCGCGGATCTCCTGGTGCTGCTGTTTGAAAACGACTCATGATAGGCTAGCTAGAAAATTCGCACAACACTGCTGATATTGCAAGCCAAGGTGCTCAAACAAATTTGTTTGCATAGAAAGGTCTCGCTGCTGTTCTCTGCCAGCAAGGCTGCGAGTCCCACGCTGGCGCATGTGCCATTTTCCCACGCTTGGGGACGATGTACGATGACAGCCGGCGTTGCGGACTGCCTGCGAGTAGTTCAAAATAAGTATTAGATAAATTTCACACATGTTTCATGCTGTCAATCTAACAATCATTGAGTATTCTGAAAGTAACCGCGTTAGTTGCTAGTACCCCATGCCCAGCCCTCGACTCCAGACATCTGATTGGCAAAACATGCATCGCAATACATTGCATTCTTATGCTGTCAAGCAGACTCTCGATAAGCATCCATTTGCTGTTGGAGAATCCGTCCAAAAAATCAACAACAACAACAACATCAACAACAACAACAACAGCAGCAGCAGCAGCAGCAGCAACAACAACAGTAGCGGTCTCTTGACATAGCAGAGCCATTAATTAGGCATGCAATGCAGAGCACTTAGAGTGTATATTGTCACCTGGTGATATGACAACATAGAGCACACACTGAGCATTGTCTGCAAGTCAGTGCCTTGCAAGGAGTGAGAAAGAATTGAACGCCAAAGTCAGGAAGACAAGCGCAAGAAGCTGGAAAGTGAAGTGGCACGACTCAGGACATTGCAGGAAGAGGAGAATTCCAAAAAGTCCAGTCCTGATCAGATTGCTGGCCAGCTTATGACAACAGATGACTCAGGGATCAGAGAGATCCGTCAAGCCAGCATCAATTTGCTGGACAAGACCATGAAGAAAGAAAGACAGCCACAAATCACCAACGTCCAAGAGATCCGCAATCGCAACATAGAGATTTCCCAGCACGAAGAACGGATGAAACTGAAGACTGTGACTGGGGACAGTCAAAGATTACCAATCAGCGTACAAGATCCCAATGTCTTGGCCGTACTTGTACAAGATGGATGTGCTAAGATGAAACAAACAATTGGTTCGCAATCCGTGTGGACAGTCCCTAGTGCAGAATGTTTCTCGCTGGAAGATGTGTCCGGTCGAACAAGCAATTACATTGTCTGGTGTGATGTGTATCTGGGTAAGACCCAGGAGTTCAACACTCTCCCCAGCACACTGCCAAGCGCGCACCAACGTGAGTTTGATTCTTGCTTCATCAAGAGTGCCAACGGCGCCGGTGGATACTATTGTCTATTCGAATGCAATCTGATCCGACCTCGCTATGCTGTTGAATTCCAGTGCAAAGCACTTGCAAGCGTTCTGAACACAGCACTGGAGAGCAAGTCCATGCATAATGGAGAGTTTGAACGCATAACCGTCGAACCAAGCAGAGGTGTGCTGCAGGGTGGCCAGGTAGCAGTGATGAACATGGCAACCAGTGCATTCTTCAAGCAACAGAAGAGTGCAGAACAGATGAAGATCACCCGAGTGACCTACTATGTGCAGCCAGAGCTGGTGGAGAAGTTTATTGCTTTCCAGGAGAAGTTGAAGGAGAGGAAAACTGAGAGTGAGCATGCAGCAGTTTTGGCCTTCCACACTACCGATGCGAGGAACGTGGAAAGTATCGTGAAGAAGAACTTTAATCTTGAGCGGGTCGGTACTGCAATGCATCACGGAGGCAAGTTTGGTTCCGGTATATACTTCTCCGAGTATCCAGACTACAGTCTTCGCTATGGTGGATCTCAGAAGGCACTGCTGTTGTGTCAAGTTCTTCCTGGCAAGGAATATCGCTGCACAAAGATCTCATCTGGAGGAAGTCTGGAGGAGGGTTACGACTATCACTTGGCGGATTATGCTGGCATAATATTTGGCATAATCTTGGGATTTCGTCAAAATATTATGCTCCGGCATATTATACGGATTTCAACGTGTAAGGCGTGTAAGATCGGCATAATCTTTCGGTTTAGACAAAAATTATGCTTAGGGCATGGCCGTGTGTGTATGCGTGGTTTCTCAATCCTCTATGTACAGCGTGAATACATAGTGGAACCGAGCATAATTCAGCATATTTGTTGGCATAATTGTGGCATAATCAAAAGCATAATTTGATGATTGGCCGAGCATAGTCCGCCAATGGCTAGTTACGACTAGCCATTGGCGGACTATGCTCGGCCAATCGTCAAATTATGCTTTTGATTATGCCACAATTATGCCAACAAAGATGCTGAATTATGCTGATTTATGTTCGGTTCCACTATGTATTCACGCTGTACATAGAGGATTGAGAAACCACGCATACACACACGGCCATGCCCTAAGCATAATTTTTGTCTAAACCGAAAGATTATGCCGACCTTACACGTTGGAATCCGTATAATAATTTATTATGCCGGAGCATAATTTTTTGACGAAATCCCAAGATTATGCCAAATATTATGCCAGCATAATCCGCCAAGGGCTATGACAAGGAGTCGTAATTGGGGTATTTAAAAAACAAACATCTGCAGGCTTTCTGACAAAGCTGTATTATGCCCCTAAGCATAATTTTTGTCTAAACCGAAAGATTATGCCGACCTTACACGTTGGAATCCGTTTTATGCCGTAGCATAATTTTTGCACGAAATCCCAGGATTAGGCCAAATAATATGCCGGCATAATCCGCCAAGGGCTAGTTACGACAGCCATGTCTATGCTGCCGGTAATCAGGGATACGGCAAAGAGCTGTGCTTCTTCGATGTTGACCAGATTCTGCCACTTTTCCATGTGGAGTTCACTGTAAAAGAAAGCACATAGCCCTCAGTCGAAACTGGTACAGCGATCATCAGCACATCCAGGACCACAGCATGGCAGTCGGAACGTTGATGTTGATGGACGTAATAATACGAATCCCGGGTGGACAGCATGCGAAGGTTATGCCAGTGGAGACAACAGCTTGCCCATTGGTCTATCATCCAAACTTTCAAGAGACTCACTTCCTGGGAGGAGTAATCACCGTGGCAAACAGAGTGATGACGACCAGTCCAGAATCCAAACTCAGTATATGCCGAGTCATGGAACAGCGTCCTCCAGGAGACAGCGAGAAAGACCTGGCAGAAGAGGTCCGGCAGGTGGTCACGTTACCATGGTAACTGGTGCCAGTGGTGGTCCATTGCGCCATGCCTACTCGCACTCGTCCTCTTTCAGAGAGGACCCGCGCAGCAGATCATACCAAGACACGCACTGAGGTGCACAGCGAGATGCACGACAAGACACACAGCAAGACACCTACGAAGACCCACACCTAAACGGACACCGAGACCCGCACCGAGAAACACACCGAGACCCACACCGGGAAAGGAATTCAGATTATGGCGCCAGGCCCAATCACTATGACAACAGTACCTGGGGAAATCAAAACTGGTTTTCCCATGACGATAGAGATCGGGAACCTCGGCTGCGTCATTTTTGCCATGGAAACACGCGTTCTAGTGGAGATTGTCCTTGGTAACTACAATCACACCGGACCACACACCCTATGTCGGCCGGCACTGAATGTGACCATGATAGTCTAGGAGTGTTGCGGTCCACCATGCTATGTACACGTACATACCGAAATGCTTGCTGGTGGTGGTGGTACTGCTGCTGCGGTGGTGATACTGCTGCTGCGGTGGTGATACTGCTGCTGCGGTGGTGCTGCTTGTGCTGGTGTTGGTGCTGCTGGTGCTGTAACTGAGTGCTGGTCTTTCTGCTGCTGGTGCTGGTGGACAAGCAGACTGAATCATACTAGCAGCTGCGATGACTTTGCCGCCAGTGCTAGTGGTGGTGGTGGTTTGTGAGTTCCCCGTCCCTGATGCCAGTGCTAGTGGTGGTGGTGGTTTGTGAGTTACCGTCCCTGCTGACAGTCATATTCACGTGTGCCCAGCACCTACTGTTGCCGCCGTCATGTGATCATTGCCATGGAGACCATGATCATAACATGTACAGGTGATTACTCAGCTGCTGCATAGTTCAAGATTTCAGCCTAAATCCAATCAATTTTTCTTACAAACTCGTAACCACAGTAATCACTTATATTGTAATATTATAAGAAACTATTTTGTCGCAGTTGCTACCTCGATTTCGCTAGCTGTTGTGTAGTAGAAATTATTGAGGCATTTTCTCCCTGACTGCGGGGCTAGCTGGATTGAGCTATGGACTGCGGGTGATGTGAATTATAGTCTGTGGCCAGTGCTTCTGCAGAGTGTAGCAATTGCCTCTGACCAGTATCATGTCACAGGCACTGTGATTGCTTAGTTACACCATAGGTGCGAGTATGCCTCTCCGGCGCACTATCTGATCATACTTCTGATGTTCTCCGCTGGGACGATTTGCTAGTACTGCATTTGAATTTCTGCTACATTATGTGCTAGTTCATGCATTGTTTTGCTCATTTTAAAACTAGTATTTTCTCTGGACAATGTTGGCCATTGAAGCCTTCTACAGGCTAGTACAGGCTAGTACAGGCTTTAGCCATGATGTATGCTTACTCTACATTTGACTGGCTGTTACAGTGTAGCGAGCATGTATGTATGGGCATTTATGAGCAAAGACAGAAGCTGTACACGTCTTCGAAGACCTTTTAGCAAGTACAGAGGATGCAGATGTCTCTTACAAACTGCTTGTGCCCTACAGTCGTTTGATAAAAAGTCCAGGTCATTATTAAGTTTGCTAATACCCTTTTATACATTCTTACTGTTTGGAAGATTGGTCTATTTTTATTAGTCACAATTCCAAGGAATTACGTCATCAAACTCATTAATTTTTATCATCTTTTTTGGATCTTCTAACTGCTACACCTTTGAAGAAGTTCTCTCCGTTTGAAATATTCTTGCACGACTCCTTTGATATTGATCACAGTTCTTCCCACCTGCATGTCAGTCACTCGTCTCCTGGCAGTCTCCCATGCCTGCCCGGCACCAGTCTATCTGAGCACTACAGTATCAAAGATCCGTTTCCGGTGGTCTTGGAATATCAAATAATGCCGCCGCAGAACTATTGGACAGCCGGCATGCAGTGGGTATGTATCAATGAGAAATGCAGGCACAACAATAGTTGTGTGATGGAATGGTATAGAAACAAGCAAGCAACTGTCCTCAGATCGAGAACATGATGTCTTGGAACACCGTCAATGCAGTGCAATAAACAATGGCATGCAGTCATTTACCATCACGCTGACCAGGCAGAGTAATCAGTCCTAGATCAAACCGCTCTGATTTAAAAGGAATTGTGTGCTCTGATTTAGCAGTTGAAGCACAAACTAGACTGCAACAACGACAGCCAACAGAAGAAGAAAAGTACATGTACGTGCAGCGAGCGATGGGAAAAGACATGTGGCAAACCTCTGAGCCGACAATAGTGTAATTTACATGTGCTTAGCCGTGGACACCATAACATACCGCCCGGCTGTATCCGTGAACACGTCCAATCATGGGTCTCACAGAGATAAGCGCAAATAATGCAGAACGTTAAATCACCGGAAAGAAACAGGAGTGCTGTTGAAAATGGGAAATAAACCAAGCACAATGTCTCCTGGAATTAGTGAGCGTCGTCGTGTACTCACTTGAGCCACTGCACCTAGCTCATTCTAGTATTTCTTATTCTGCCATCGTGTCCAATTAGCACCACCTCGATACCCACCGACACCGGCACCGACACTTCGGTTGCCTGAAGTGCCATCGGCTTGACTTGCAGAATGTGTGCTGTGACCTCCACCACCACCGCCGCCCCATCTGTCTGTGTAGCCTTGGCTGGTGCTGCTGTAAGCACTCTGACTGCCACGACCACCACTGCGCCAGTCACCACCACTACCTCCACCACCTACACGGCTGCTCTGCCAACCAGCTTGACCAGCGCGACTATCCGTACCAGCGAACCCACCACGACTTCCGAAACTTCCGCCACCTCGTCCATATCGATCGCCATCATGGTTTATTCCCTGGCCATAACCACCACAATTAGGTCCTCGACCGTATCCACTCTTGCCAGGTCCTGTACTGACATGACCACCACGGCCTGTTGCAGCAGACGCACTAGCAGCAGTAACACCTGGGCTGGCGCCATGACGCCCATCAGCAATGCTGGCTGGACGTGCAAGTTGCTGCTGGTTTGCGTCACGCACTGTACTGGGCAGAGTGCCAGACTCAAGACCATCATCCCACCACCCATCTTTAGAAACTTGGCAATCACCTGGAAATGACTGCCTGGATGTTTGCTGAGACTCGACTGCAGGGTTAGTCTCCTCAGCTGCGCCAGAAAGTGTTGGAAAACTCGAGCCAGCAGCCGTAGCTCCTGTTGCTGCATTTGCTGCATTCAGATGTGCTCCTGGATATTGAGAGAACGAAGACACCACGCTGGTGTCAGTGACAAAAGGTGCGACGGGATTGTGACCAGCAGCATATCCTGAAGACGTATTCAGTCCAGCCATGCCCGTGTGCATAGCGTTCTCTCCGCTGGCAAACGATGGTGGCGCATCCATACTAGCGATGTTATGGTGACCAGCAGCTGTCTTGCGTCCTGAATAAGAGTTACCTGGGCCATACATTGCTGGACTGGCATGAGCAGGAGGAGGTGGAAGCTGCTGATGATAGTTCTGTTTGGGCTGGTTGTTATGTGGCCAAACCTTGTCAAACTCCACATGGAAGAGGGGTAGAATCTGGTCCACATCGAAGAAGCACAGCTCTTTGCCGTAACCCTGCTTATCAGCAGCATACACATGACTGTCGTAACCCTCCTCCACACTTCCTCCAGATGAGATCTTTTTGCAGTGATATTCCTTGCCAGGAAGAACTTGACACAGCAGCAGTGCTTTCTGATATCCACCATAGCGAAGACTGTAGTCTGGATACTCGGAGAAGTATATACCGGAACCAAACTTGCCTCGGTGACGCGTTGCTTTACCGACCCGCTGAAGATCAAAGTTCTTCTCCATGATACTTTCCACATTCTTCGCGTCGGTGGTGTGAAAGGCCCAAACTGCTGCACGCTCACTCTTAGTTTTCCTCTCCTTCAACGTCTCCTGGAAAGCAATAAACTTCTCCACCAGCTCTGGCTGCACATAGTATGTCACTCTGGTGATCTTCATCTGGTCTGCACTCTTCTGTTGCTTGAAGAATGCACTGGTTGCCATGTTCATCACAGTTGCCTGGTCACCCTGCAGCACACCTCTGCTTGGTTCGACGGTCATGCGTTCAAACTCTCCACTATGCATGGACTTGCTCTCCAGTGCTGTGTTCAGAACGCTTGCAAGTGCTTTGCACTTGAATTCAACAGCATAGCGAGGTCGGATCAGATTGCATTCGAATAGACAATAGTATCCACCGGCGCCGTTGGCACTCTTGATGAAGCAAGAATCAAACTCACGCTCCTCCTCGCTTGGCAGTGTGCTGGGGAGAGTTTGGAACTCCTGGGTCTTACCCAGATAGACATCACACCAGACAATGTAATTGCTTGTTCGACCGGACACATCTTCCAGCGAGAAACATTCTGCACTAGGGACTGTCCACACGGATTGCGAACCAATTGTTTGTTTCATCTTAGCACATCCATCTTGTACAAGTACGGCCAAAACATTGGGATCTTGTACGCTGATTGGTAATCTTTGACTGTCCCCAGTCACAGTCTTCAGTTTCATCCGTTCTTCGTGCTGGGAAATCTCTATATTGCGATTGCGGATCTCTTGGACGTTGGTGATTTGTGGCTGTCTTTCTTTCTTCATGGTCTTGTCCAGCAAATTGATGCTGGCTTGACGGATCTCTCTGATCCCTGAGTCGTCTGTTTTCATAAGCTGGCCAACAGCCTGATCAGGACTGGACATTTTGAAATTCTCCTCTTCCTGCAATGTTTGCAGTCGTGCCACTTCACTTTCCAGCTCCTTGCGCTTGTCTTCCTGACGCTGGCGTTCAATTCTTTCACACTCCTTGCAAGGCACTGACTTGCAGTTTGCACCGCACAGAGCTGAGCAGATGTGACCGCATTTCTCCAGAGTCTTGCTGCATGGAAACTCGCATGGAGGGTCTCTGGCGCTGCACACCTTGGTTGCCTTGTGTTGGCATGGCAATGTCACGGTAACTGTTTCTTTGCATCGGTATGATATTTCATCTTCCGCGGCAACATCATGGCATTGTCGTACGTACACCTTGGTGCAGTTTGAACCCGGGCATATGAACTGCTTTGGGCTGGTGCATTTCAAGGCACTCTCTGGCTGGTAGCACTCTTTGGTTGAAGCGTGGCCGCATACACTGAACTCGAAATCCACTTGCTGGCGGCAAATCTTGTGCGGGTGCCATGGTTGACAACGGCGTTGACAGTTGTGCACATCGCACGGCATTAGAATCCCACATGGCTCGTCGCAGAAATCGTTCCTGTTGATTGGGATGTCCTTAGCTGACTTAACCTTAACCGAAGCAGAGGGATGTTTCTGGCAAGCCAGTTGCAGGATTGGAGACACCAGGCTTTTCTCCTGCAAACCACTCAGCAAGAACTTCCAATTAGCTGATGCTTGCACGGTCATAAAGTTGCCAACAAAGTACATGCCACACTTGGCCCGCGATTGTGCAACGCAGCGTCGATTCAGCTGATCCAGAAATCCAATCTTGCCTTCCGGGTTAGACCTGGTCAGTGATACAATCACGATTTGGTTCTCATCACCTTGGTAACGATCGATTGTGTGCACCTGCACGCTGTGGCGGTCTCTTGCCTTGTTGATTTGCTCTGCAGTCGGCTGTAGAGGCTTCTTCTCACCTCTTGCATCTTGGAGAAGTGATTCCTCTTCCATAACTTCCGCGATGAAATCAGGGTGATCTTGAATGTCAAACACCGAAGAAAGACTGTCCTGCATAAGGCGTCGCACCCGTCTTGTCTGTCCTAGATACGGTGTGAGAATTGTGACATCCGCGGGATCATAACCCTGCTGAACAAACCAGAGTGCAAGACGAACGACCATCTCTGCTTCTTCTCTGTTCTCAACGCTCCTGCTTTTGTCTTCCTTGTGCGTGTGGTGCCAGAAGAACATCGAGTCAGCCATACACGCCGGGACCTTGTTCTGCGACACAACTGACAGGTTGTCCTTGTAATCTGGGTAGATATCCAGAAGAAGTTTACTGAACTCTGGTCGCATGCGATTCTGTGTCAGCAGCAATCCATGTGGCATCTTGTTATTGAGCAGTCGTTCTATCATTGAAATATCAAAGTGGTGATCTTTAACCAGAGTGTACGACTCAACGGATGGTCGTAGCTGCTTGTGATCTCCGATCATGATCAAGTGTTGAACCCATGGACCAAGAGCAGCAACAATCTGTGGTTCAAGTACCTCAGCAGCTTCTTCCACAATGACAACACTAGGCTTGAGTGCAGCGAGAAGCTCATGGTTCATGGATGCACCAGTGATTGTCATTCCAAGCATGATGGCGCCTGTTTCCTTCAGGTGCTGTGCTTTCTCTAAGGCTGTATGAAGGCGCAATTGCTCGCTGCAGTGTGTGAACTGGTACACTGCCTGCTCGAGTCTTCTTCGGCAGTCCTGCTTGCGCAACGAGATGATATGCTGCACAAATATCGCCCTGCGAATGCCGTCCAACCGCCACACATCATCTTCAAGAGCTGACGTCAATTCTGTGGCTACTTGGTGTGCCTGACCTTCCATACCCGGAATCTCTCTAGGCCAAGCATCATGGATGACATCCCAGTAGACCAGGCGTACAGGATCCTCCTTTGCTCTGCCGCCTTTGCGATGTTGCAGGGTTTCCTTTCGTTCCTCGTCATCCTCGCTGGATTCAGCTTCACCTGCGCTTTTCTGAGTCTGCACTGGAGTAAACTGGGCTGTTCCCGTCGCATTCGCTTGGGATGATTCCATTGTCTGGCGTAATTGGTCGAAGATTTGTTGGCCGGGAAGCCACATTGCGAGTGCCAGCTGTACAAGATGCAGTAGAGCGGACTGGTCAACGCCGAGTAGCCATTCATCTAGGTCACCCTTCGGGAATATGCCACTCAGCTTCATGTAATCGGCATTGCTCAAGCGGTCTTTCTTCACACCAAACAGCAGCTTCATGATCTGCGTAGGACTGGCATAGGTCAGAAAACCGTGTACGGAGAAGTGCGTGGCGTCAGACAACTCCTGAACAATGCCCTGTAAGTCATTAGCTGCTTTTCGCTTGCCAATTCGTTCATGTTCGCTATGTCCTGCCACGACACGGATTCGGTTGATGTTGCGTGACTCCAGTGCTTCATTATCGGATCGACCACCGGCACGCACAACTCTCATAAACTTCATGCAGGCGAGTAGGAACTCATCCAGGGCATGATTCTTGTAGGTGAGGACCAGGAAGACCTTCTGCTTCAAGCTCGACGCTGTCAGCAAGAGCTGAACCAACTTAATGCCAATGTACGTCTTGCCTGTACCGGGCGGACCTTGGATCAGTGCTAGACGATGCCTCAATGTATGTGCTATTGCTTTGCGCTGTGACAGGTCAACGCAAAGGTCTGCATCATCATCCTCCAACAGATTGAGCACATCCGGCAGAGTCATGCTTGGAGGACCCCGTAGTGCCGAAACAGCCGAGGAGAAAATCCCCCATTGTCGATGATACATCCCATCACTGCTGCTTTCCAGCTGGCGGGCGGTGTCCAGTAGCCTTGTCCGTGTATCAGGCTTGTGCTGTGCGCTGAGCATGTCTGCTTTGCTACTGGTATGGTTAATACTCGCAACAGCACAGCTTTCTTGCAGGCTAGGTGCGGCCACCACACCCCCCAACTCCGAACTTTTCTGAACGGCGAGTGGTTCTGCATCATTCCTGATTGCAGTGCTGCTGCTGGCCGACTCCTCCTTGTCAGCATCTTCGTTTGGCAATGGCTTGTAAAGACATGTCGGGTCAAACGAGATTTCACGCTTCTTCTTAGTGTCACTCTGTGCGTCACCAGCTTCCTCTGAGATGGCGTGTGTATCCAGATACTCGGGAGGATACTCGGTATCTTTAAGACAGTCAACAATCTCCTCGGTGAACGGAATGTCCTCGGAAGTCATATCCCGAAGACAGAGTAGCACAGGTTGATAGGCTTTGTAGTAAGCTGGGGACTCCAACATGAGCGTGGTGTGAGGTGAGGCACTTCTCATTCTGCTGATAAACTCTGCCATGTCACTACCGTTGATATCAGTGCACGGGTCCACCAGCAGAATACCCTCCGTGGCCATATTGGCATTGCTGCGTACAGTAGCCCACAGCGGATTGCTGAACGAACCGTCGGTCGTGATGCACACCAGGTTGCCATACATCAGGGCACTTGTCTTCTGCCAGTCCTTGACAGGACGTACAGGCTTCACTCTGATCCCAAGGGAGAATCCCGAGCTGCTCTGACCGATACCACGTTGGCGCCTCTTGTTCTTGTCTTTTACAAGCGATTCCATTGCATCTAGCTTCACCTGGTAGTAAACGTTCATGTCACGGATGTCTAGCTTTCCTTGAAGCAGGTTCTGTACGCCGGTTTTCAGTGCAGCAAAGCAGTCCTCTCGCAGCAGCCGGAAGTAAGTGTCAAGATAATCATCAACTGATTTGTAGTTGCCATGACGACGAACAACCGGGAGAGCTGGACCAGTGTACGCTGTGGCTGACCATTCTCCAGTTGCCGTGGTGATAAGCTGACCAGTCAGCTCAGTGCTGGTCGGCGCAAGCGGCAAGTTGCTCCATGAACATGTCTCCGGATCATTGTCAGTTGTCGTGACAACCATACATTGTAGAAACTTCAGTAGGCATTTCTTCACACGGTCCTGTGGGTATGATGGCATATCCACCATCTTTCTGACCAATGGCACAACAAGCTGTAGCAGGCTGTTGTCTGCGGTGCACAGTGCCAGGAGAAAGTCTTCAAGTAACTGCCAATCCGGGTAACTTTGCTGCATGTACCCCAACAATGCTCCAGTGAGTGGATTGAAGAATGTACACTTGCTTATTGCAGCAGTCAAGTTTTTGAAGACGTTGGGCATCGCGCTGAGGAAGTCTTTCAGGTCGAGAAGTGTTTTAATGATTCTGCCAGCCAAGATGTTGGCCCAGTTTCTGTCGCTGATTGACTGATTCAACATTGTCTTCCATATTAGGTGAGCGTTGAGATATCGTACAGCCGTCACTCTGTCGTCCGCCTTTACCAGGCTGCACAACTCATCTAGCCAGCTTATGAACTGCTCCGACGTGCAGTTGATGGCAGTCACGGTTACTTCTGATGCTCGTGCGTTTTGGGCTTGCACTTGTTTCTTTCTCGTCTCCTCGAGCTTGAACTCTACTACGTCGGAAGGCGAGAGAGACATGCCGGCGATTGCGTCCAGCTTCACACGGGTAAAGTGAAAGAAGACATCGTTGTCGGACCGCATATCGAGCGAACTGTTGTCGTCTTCCGACTGTTGCTGTGGCTGAATGAAACCGATTGATTTATCAGGTATGACGCGTGCAACAATGCCCGTTTTCCAGCGGCGTTTCCCGTCCTCCTGTTCAGGACGCTTCATGGTGAGCATTGTCTTTCCACTTTCCTTGGCTATTTGCAGTGCCCACGGCTTGGCCTTTCTAGCAGGTGCTGCTTTGAAAGATCGTTCCAACTGCAAGCAACATAAGAAGAAACAATCACAGAGATATTGCATTAGAATATACTGGATAATGACTCACTGCACACTTCCAGGGCACAGGTTGACGGTCATCTCAAAGCACTCAATCAAGCGACATTATTAAAATTTTAAAAATTCTATCGACCAGCTAAGTCTGAAAATCACACTGAAAAGTAGAATGGCACCTATGCATAATTTTCCCGCGGTTTTTTGTGCGGGGCAACTTCACGACCTCGACACTGTACTTGCACCACGCAGCGCAGCATGCAGTCTCATGCATGCACGCGTGGAAACTCTGATGATCGTAGAGCCCTACGTACCTGCTTCGCGTTTGCTGAGGCTGAAGTACAATGTACAATTTTTTTTCCTTTGTGTTGGTGAAGAATCAAACTCAAAGCAAGACATTTATTTCCTTCTTGGAAGGCAAGGGTTGTCACAGTTTGCTGTTGTGTATAAGTAGCAAGTTAGTTAGAGATCAGTAAGCAGCTGACACAATCATGCCAAGCAACGCTCATTGTATCGTCCCTGGCTGCTCAAATCGTAAAAGCAGCTGCAAGTTTGGTTTGTTTGAGTCTGATGATGCGAACTCGCAAGGACGAAAAGTGTTTGGGAAGCGTCGTCTATGTGGATCAGACCTGGCTCGTGTTGGCTGCGGAGGAACAGCAGAGGTCTGTAAAGCTGTATCTTTTCATCGTTTGCCTAAAGATTCGGATCGACGCCGGCATATCAGGGCCGAGTGGCTTGCCAAAATACCAAGAGTCAACACTCCTCTTTCTGGAAACTCGTATGTCTGTGGGGTGCACTTTCCTGGTGGTCGACCTGTGACGGAGGACGAGCCACCTTCCCGTTTCTTGGACAAAGCCGTCGTAGTGAAGAGGAAGAGCCGTGTTTCGACAGGCGAAGTCAGTCGACCCGTTGAAGCGATTGATATTGATGACGATGTTGATTTACCAGTCACAGATGAATCGGTGCCTGAGGCTGCAACACTTTTAGCTGACCATGATTATGGTGAAGTTCCCGTTCTCCAAGAGAACAAAATAAAGACTTTGGAAGCACAAGTGGCTAAGTTGCGGTCCCAGTTGGAGCAGGCCTTGTACAATTTGGATGAATCGGAAGAAGCTTTGCGTAAATGCCAACTCCATTACTCGAACATCCGACATGACAACAAGATTGTACTGTTTTACACGGGCCTGAGTTCTCTGGCGTTTGACTTGTTGCTGGATCAGTTGCGGTGTGGATGTCAAGACATGTGCTTTGCTACTAAAGTGCCAACTGATTTCCTTGGCCAGGACAGCCGTGGCAGACGAAGAGCATTGGCGTATGAAGACGAGTTGCTATTGACCCTTGTCAAACTTCGGCATGCTTTCCCTGAGTCAGATTTAGCACTGCGATTCGGAATAGATCAATCCACGGTGTCCCGAATATTTTCAACGTACATTCGTTGCATGTACTTCTCTATGAAAGAAGTGGACATTTGGCCGAGCCGGGCTCTGATTGATCGCTACATGCCCGACGTCTTCAAAGACAAGTACCCACGCACCCGGGTAATTATTGACGCAACAGAGTTTCCCATTGAGAAGCCAGCCAACCCAACTGTACAAGCAGCCACCTGGTCGAATTACAAAAACAGGAACACTTTCAAACTGTTAGTTGGTGTGACACCTACCGGTGCAATATCGTTTCTGTCTCCTCTTTATGGCGGGCGCATTTCTGATAAGAAACTGACAAAGCGAAGTGGGCTAATGAAGTTGATGGAGAAGGGTGATGCCATCATGGCCGACCGTGGTTTCGACATTGCCGATCTGCTACCGGAGGGTGTCGATCTCAACATACCCCCGTTTCTTGGTTCTCGAGATCAGCTTGATGAAGAAGAGGTGATCGAAACTCGGCGTATTGCTAGCGTGCGTATTCATGTGGAGAGAGCAATGGAAAGGATCAAGAACTTCAGGATAACTCACTTCTTATCTTCCGTGTTGTGCCCTTTGGCTGAGCAGATCATATTTGTGTGTGCATTCCTCACTAACTACATGGAGCCCCTGGTACCTCCGCCTGTTAGTAAGCCATCGACACAGTCTGCACACTTTTCCTCTGCTGCAGAAGTTGCCCAGATATCACCAGATGCAAACATTTCTGCAGTGGCTGTTTCAGCTGGCACATTTCTTTCACCTGCCATTACTGCTTCTGCTGCTGCTTCCGCTGCTACCAAGTTGTCATCTGCTGTAGCTGCTACTTCTGCTGCTACGAACGTGCCATCTCCTGTAGCTGCTACTGCTGCTGCTATCAGCGTGCCATCTTCTTCTGTAGCCGCTGCTGCCTATGTGACCACTCCCGTATGTTTGTTTTGCAAGCGCTCAGATGGCCCACTTCTTAGAGTTTGTAGGTCTTGTAACTCACGCTACCACCATATGTGTCAGAATGATGATGAAGATGGGCGTCTATGTAATTCTTGCTTTATGACCAGGCCGCTCTGTTGAAAGCTTTTTGCGCATGCCGATATTCCTACGTGGCCTCGGTATTTTCTTCCCCTCTTTTCTTTGTGTTATGTTGTGAGTAATGGTGCCCCTACACAATGATGCTTATTTCACTCAGGACTTCGTACTTCGAAGTAGAAGTAGTGATGCTCCTATTTGTCTGTTTGTGCTGTTCACCAGGTAGGAAATGTGGCCTGTGACTGCTGCAAGTGCCGCTTACTTTGAAGTAAATACGAATACTCATGTAACGTTCATGCCTTTTTGAACTCTGTTGTAACACGGAATGGCGAGCTATTGTAAACCAGTTGTACGTGCCGTTTTTTGTAGTGGTTACCAGTAATGGCAGTATAATTTACTATAACGCACTGTTTACAGCAGAGTTCCACTGTCTTGGGTACATGTATACAACACTACCTAATCATGTACAAATGCAGGAAGCCGGTAGCTGATGGAACTATCCACCATCTAATCACGGCGTTTATATCAAGGAGCTACAGAACAGGGCAGAACAGAAAAAGCTATAATAAAGAACATAAAGTGCAGCGTATAGAACAGTTCAGACACACTTACAGAAGAAAAGATTGCCACAAATCAGGGAAGAATGTAAACAGTCAAGACTACAGGAACTGGAGCAAAGTGAGCAATGGTCATCTCAGATGACGAGGAATATATCTATTACCAAGAAACTTGATCACAGAGCCAGTTTCGGGAGAACATGATCAAAATAAAATGTTCGGCAAGCTGCGAGAGTTTTCTTGACATGCACTTCACAAAATGAAATGCGCTCAACAAAAAGATCATTGCAGGGAGACCACACTACAAAGTCACAAAATTGAAGGCCTGCAGCAAAGAGCTGCATTTGCACTTGTGTATAGTAGGCATGTGTTGTTTTGAGAGAAAGCACACCATCCTTGTTGGACAAACAAAATGATGCAGTAGACCCAGCTACCTCTGCTAGACTTTGGTCTCTAGCAACAAACGGGCATTTAATCTCGAGCAAAAGTGATGTATCACCATCCCTAACAATGCCATCGGGACTGGCACCAAACCAGCATTCATCAGCATGCACAAATAAGCCACATGCAACAACATCTATCAGCTTGCCAGACTTGGCTTGGTGGGCTACGTAGGCACATCGTGCCTCTTCTTCATGATCAATCCCCCATCTGGTTGCAGGAGTGGTAAACGCCGGCCGATCAATGATAGTTTTTATGAGGGATGACGGGTCAGTCTGAGGTCGTCGATGAGCTACAGTATGGGCAATGGAAGCTGTAATACGCTTCTTTCGTTCATTCCTCCAGAGTTCACTTGTTGTTTGGGATGCAGTGGCTTCTTGCAGGGCATTAGCTTCTTCACAAGTAAGTATGACATTGGACTCGTACCACAGCATCTGCTTGTCCTCAGTTAGCCACTCGCAGTCAGATGGCACAGGTGTCACATCACCTGATCTGCTGTGCTCAACCTGCCACTTGTCCTTCTGTTCCCCTGCCCTAGCCAGTCTCTCCTTTTTCTGCGCTTGGGCTCTGTGCAACCTGTCCTCCTTCTGCTTAGCAGCAAATCCTGAGCTACCAGCAACAAGAGGCAATGCTAGGTGGATGGAGTTGGAGTGAATGGTTGAGTTGGCGTATTCCTCCACACGCCGGGCAAAGTCCATCCGCTTTGCAACAGCACGAGGGTCAAGTACTTCTGCAGCAGAATGCTTACGTTTCTTTGGCGCAGATTTGTCAGTGGTACTGCCACCTCTACGCCACTCCATGTCTTGAACCAGCATGGGCTCACTCTTTTTACCTGCACCTGCAGGAGGCTGGTTCCACTTTTGCAGCATGTCCGTGCACGTCGGAGCGTCACTAAACCCAAGCAGAGTGAACTCGGACAAGCCATACATCAGTGCAGCTATATGCTTGCAACTGGCAGTAACACCCTTGCCAGCAGGACAAGTGCACTGAGCACCAACAACACTGGTGGCAGATCCTGAGTCACACTGAGCAACGAGCCGAAGTTTGTAGTCAGCTTTGGTCTTCATTTCAGGCTGACAGCGGGCACGGTAGTACACACGGCTGTTGGCCTTCATCAGTTCGATTTTCTGGACATAACCTGCTCGATACAGACGAATTGACTTGCTATCAGTGGCAGCAAGCGCTTTGAAATTCTTGGCAGGTCCATCGCTGGTCATAGTGTCCACGAAATAAGAAACCATAGTTTGCATGGAGAACGACAGGGAGAGTAGCCTTCCACTCGCAGATTTAATCGGCTGCCACCCAGTAACAGGAAAATCCAGAGGGTCGTGGGGAATAACAGCAAGCGCTGCAGCTGGCGGAGGTGGCCCTTCCTTGCCATCACCGTCGCCTTCAGAGAAATGCTGAGCAAGTCTGTAAACGACACGAGCAGATAAATAACAAACTCAGATTCACAAATAATTTCAAAAAAATAAGATTTTGTTGTGGGAAGAAAACAACTCACCTCGCAACTAGATCGGCTTTCTTTCCCGACTTCTTGAGACCATACTCTCCACACTTCACCTTCAGAAGGTTCAAGGTGAGCTGGGAAAAATCCTGACTGACTGCCATCTTCCTGTCAACTAATATCGAAACTGTCTTCCACTGCAACGACTGAAAACAAAGGAGAGCCTCGCGTCGAGCAAGTTGCCCCGCACAAAGGTGCGAAGTCGCGATGGCGACCTGGCCGCCATGTTTTATGCATAGGTGCCATTTGGAATTATTAATTACACTTTGCTGCAGTTACAGCTTAGTGTATGGATGTTTCACATGCCAATAGCAAAGTTCCTGGCACTCTTTACATCACACTATTCACGAATTTTAGACGGTATGCCTTTTCGGATAGGTTGAGACAGCGATTTCACATTCGTAAAGCGCATGAGATTAGTCTTGTGTGGATCCAAAAATGCACCCCAAACATTGGGAAAAGTGATTCAAGTTCTGCTCACCTGGTCGACTTTGTCAGGTTGTTGCCGCTTTAGCTGCTTCGGCTGCTCTGTCTGTTCTGGTCGTGACTGAAGCTCATCATCTGTGGGGCTGCTATGTGCATCAGATTCCCTGACGTCAAAGCTATCTTGGCCGGCCGCCATAGTAACATCTTCAAGCTGTCGCCGTCGACTGAAGTCGATCTTTTTCGGCTGAGGTGGCTTGGGAGGCCTGCGAGGCTTAAAGGTTCTGCGAGCTCGTTCTCGGTACCACCACTCTTCTGGATCATCGCTGTCACTGTCGGAATCATCTGTATCTTCCAGGACCTCCAGCTCGATACCACCACCCTGGTATGGATTGCACCGGGCAGCATACTGGTTGTGTTCATAGCTGGCGTGTGAATAACCACTGGCATTGCCGGCCGGTGGGTGACTTCCACCTCCCTGCGGTTGGCCGCCTGCGCGCCAATTAAGAACGGCTGAAGCCATCGCTGTGCATCAGGCGGCAGTCTGAGAATCACAAACAGGTGCATGCACGTATTCACGCATTCACACAAACACACGCCATCATTAGAAAAAGTGATGTCAACAGGAGCAATTCCCATGACTATAGTGGCAGCAAAACTGGAAGAGAAAAGTTCACTACGCTAGTCGACTAATCACACAGCATGTACTAACACACAGCATGTACTAACACACAGCATGTACTAACACACAGCATGTACTAACACAGAGCCAGAGCAACACCTCACAGTACATGTACTGGTATCAGTAGACCTACAAGGTAACACCACACACTCAGGCGCGTAGCACCGCCGTTGGCGGTGGTCCGGCCAGGGGGATCCGGGGGGATCTCCCGCGGAATTTTTTTGAAATTGGGGTGCAAAATCCTGCATTCTGGGCACTTTTGGCATTGTTTTACTATGGTGGTTGTGGTCGGGCGAAAAAGTGGTCCGGCCAAAGCCGGACCGGCCGGAGCGGCTGCTACGCCCCTGACACTATAATTAGTATGTACTGGTATTGGTTAGAGCAGAGCTAGGCTTACAGCTCACAGCATCATGTACTGGTATTGGGTAGAGCAGAGCTAGGCTAACAGCTCACAGCAGCACAGGGCATGCCTGTGCTAGCACAGCCTCCTATTCCATTATGGTTGTCTGATGATTGGCTCAGCCATGAAACTCCGAGTCACAACGGAATTTGCCAAGGTTTTCATTGCGTGCCTTTGTGTACTAGCACAGAAGTGACCAGGTGGCATGCAGTCAGGTGGCATGCAGTCAGGTGGCATGCAGTCAGGTGGCATACAGTCAGGTGGCATACAGTCAGGTGGCATACAGTCAGGTGGCATACAGTCAGGTGGCATGCAGTCAGGTGGCATGCAGTCAGGTGGCATACAGTCAGGTGGCATACAGTCAGGTGGCATGCAGTCAGGTGGCATACAGTCAGGTGGCATACAGTCAGGTGGCATGCAGTCAGGTGGCATGCAGTCAGGTGACATGCAGTCAGGTGACATGCAGTCAGGTGGCATACAGTCAGGTGACATGCAGTCAGGTGGCATACAGTCAGGTGACATGCAGTCAGGTGGCATGCAGTCAGGTGACATGCAGTCAGGTGACATGCAGTCAGGTGGCATGCAGTCAGGTGACATGCAGTCAGGTGACATGCAGTCAGGTGGCATGCAGTCAGGTGGCATGCAGTCAGGTGACATGCAGTCAGGTGACATGCAGTCAGGTGGCATACAGTGCATCACACTAACTCTACTGTGAACGAATCATACAAACGATAAACAATAATGGAAAATAGCACAGCACACCAGCGACACTACCATTATTTTAGTGAACTACAGTAAGATCGGGCGCCGAAGAACGCAGGGGCTCGAGCGCAGCCTAGGAAAGTTCTTAAATTTTTGATTCTAGCCAGACCGTTCTTATTCACACGCGCGCGCGGCGAGTCGAGTGACGTCATGACGTTTGTCATGTACATGTACATGTACATGTACATGTAGTGCAATGTAGTACTTCTAAACTAGTGGGTGTCGTAAATGGGAATGACTGTACATGTAGCAGTTACTGTTTACACGTGTACATGACATGTACTCACCTCCCATACATGTACAATGTAGATCTACGTACAATGTAGATCTGGTGTTCTTAAATCTGATAATTCTAGCCTGGACTGTTCTTAAATTTTGCGGGTTTTCCAGCCTGGGTGTTCTTCGGCGAGGTGTTCTTCGGCGCCCGATCTTACTGTATCACATGTTTATAAGACTCCACAAACCCCAAAAGCGGAGTAACATATAATTCGATTTGAATCGCAGTAAAGAGACCTTCGGGGTGCTGAGTTGAAAGGTCTTGGTCCGAGGAAGCTGAGACACTCCGTTCCTCCTTTATTCCCAATCGAACTCGTGTACTTCCACCAAAACTGGTTGACTGCACCCTGCCAGATGGGGATTTGTACGCAAAATGTCACTAAAAGCATCATTTCGTTCTTATAAAGCACGGATGAACGCGATTGGCCCATATGTCGTAGTCTTTCGGACGCCGCGTCCACTGGTTTGGGTTTGAGAAGGCTGATGCAGCGTTCGGCTCTTATTCCCAATCGAACATGGTTAAATAAGTGGCCAAGTTCTCATGCGTACCCCAGTCGCCTGCCGGGTCACCGTGCCTGCAGACTACAACTTTGACACCAAGGCTCAACTCAAAGTTTCAAAGGTTCAACTCGAGTGACAGGAACGCGCTCAAACAGGCTGTAGGCTAGAACCCTGAACACTCAGATCTATCTTATCCGGACCTGCAAGTTATGGGCACCTTTGTCTACCGGGCACCATGCGTGTGTGTGTACGTGTGTGTGTACGTGTGTGTGTGTGTGTGTGTGTGTGTGTGTGTCTTTCGCCGTCCGAATGATTTATCCCGACACAAGAACTACTGCCTCGCCTAATAGCTATCATCGCCTTCGGCGATGGGCTTTCCAAAGGTGTGTGTGTTTTTAGTGGAAATATCACTTCTCTTTTCCCAAGTTTTTTTGGACTGAAATAGTGACGTCCTATCCCAGATCAAAATGTAGGTGAGTCAGACTCACCAGCCTGAGTTGTTGTCATCAACATGATGTCAGCAGGTCAGGCAGGTATGGAGTGGAAGAGGCACTTACCGTACAGCTCTCGATGAGAGGTTCTACGCCAGATGATGGTGTGAGCCAGCGATAAAATAATGGAAAAAGCTGGTGCTCAGCCCCCACGAGTGCACTGCATAGGTCACGCACCTTTGCAGTGCGTGGAGCACAGCGTTGAAGCCGTGTGACTTGATCCAGTACTCTCCTGAGTGTTGGCAACATCAGGCACCTACCTGTCTTGAGGCTGAGCACGGGCTGCGGGTGCAGCACTCACTGCTACAGCCACTACGGTACAGGCGGACCTTCACTCGGCGATGGATGATCGAACTTGTTTCAGAGACTCACTGATGTTTTGCAATGGCCAGTCGTTGTCGCTCGCTTGTCAAGTTAGTTGTGAGCTTCTGATCCAGATCGCTCTAACACTGATACGCGAGTCCGTCCAGTCCTACCTTTGCTAGGACACTGATGGCTAATGGCCTTGTACTTTTATAAAGCTAAGACCCCTATCGTTCTTGGAACCACTGTTCGGACGAAGAAGTCACGGTTAATTCTGGTGCTCCTTTGCTCCGACGTGCAGAAATCTAGATATTGTTGTTGAGTTTTGGTTGGTGCTGGTTTCTGTCGAATCCGGAGTTTCGAAACGATCGAAACTTTCGAAAGTAACCTTTGGCTTTGACAGCTTGGGAAATCTCATCTTTCATTCATTTGACTGTGCACTTTCCTGACCATGTTGATTTTGTAGGCATGATGTCTTAGTGTGTTAGTTAGTTAGTTGTAGCGAAACCAACCTGGCCGCCGGCCGGCCGGGGCGATGGGCCATGCCTTCTTTACTTCAGACCAGGGCTTTTACGACTCCCTGCTTCAGACTCTGCTCTGCGAACTCCACGGGAAACCCCCCAAAATGAATATTCCAGGCAATGACTGGGCCGAGTGCAACAAAAACATCGTTGGACATAACAATCATCATGTGGACAGGTGCGGCACCACATGCAGTGCTAGCTACAAGTATTCTGAAATGGTAATATAATTATAACCCAATAGTCAATACTACTAGTTCAAAATTAGTATTTGATAAAGTTCACAAATGTTTCATGCTGTCAATCTAACAATCATTGAGTATTCTGAAAGTAACCGCGTTAGTTGCTAGTACCCCATGCCCAGCCCTCGACTCCAGACATCTGATTGGCAAAACATGCATCGCAATACATTGCATTCTTATGCTGTCAAGCAGACTCTCGATAAGCATCCATTTGCTGTTGGAGAATCCGTCCAAAAAATCAACAACAACAACAACAACAGCAGCAGCAGCAACAACAACAGCAGCAGCAACAGCAGCAGCAGCAGCAGCAACAACAACAACAGTAGCGGTCTCTTTACATAGCAGAGCCATTGGGCATGCAATGCAGAGCACTCAGAGTGTATATTGTCACCTGGTGATATGACAACATAGAGCACACACTGAGCATTAGTGGGCCAGTGCAAAGGACAAAACGTGTGGCAATATTCGGCACAGCATCATCGCTATGACCTAGAATTTTAAAACTAATATATCCAGCAGATAGCAACTCAACATAATCAAGAGAAGACGAAATCCTACGTACGCTAAGAGGCAAGAAATGCAGTCAGCTGAGGTATAGACCTATTTCTGGAAAACTGAATAATTATAGTGTCAATCCGTACGTCCCGTGTGCATATCGAATGACGCACAGGAACGGCTTGGGCTCAATCTTAGTACGGGAATTTTGTATTAAAAAAATATGCACTTAGAACATGCTGGACTGGTGTTCGGGGGGGGGGGGGGGGAGGGGGGGGTGGACTTTGCTAGAGTAGTGAGCAACGGGCCGTAGCAATTTGATCCTGTGTCAATGTGGGCCCCACACAGCTACGTCGGCGGCAGACGAGAAGTGTGGCGGGACAGCGTAATAATGATAATATGTATTGCTATCGCCGCCTTGTCTTCTTCCCAGCATAGCGTCACGCACACTGGTGTCCGGCAGGTGATTGATACACTTAAACGTGATGAAATCAGATATCTCAGGTCCCAGTAGGGTTCACCTACAGACTTTGACGTGCATGCAAGCTGCACCAGCCAATCTTGATTCGTTCAGCATGCGTCTGGGTGCTCCTCCACGGTGTCCACCATCTTTACCATGGTAACGCAGCACACTGCCTGCCACACAATGCTCACTGTCGTCACAGCAGGGTCTGCATCACAGCACACAGACACAGAGTCTGCATCACAGCGTTGATACCAGCAGAATAGTCACTCAGCCAGCAGGTGGGAGCTATCGTGATTTTCGCGCCTGCAACACGGCTGCCCATACGTCCGCGATGAACTCATCCGGAAACTCAAACTCTCCAAGCTCCTGCTCCATGGCCGATGCAAAGATCGCATAGTCTGTCACGTCCTTGGCCAGTTGAACCATAGCATCGGCTGCAACAAAGACAAAGAAGCACACGGACAGAGAAAGGGCGAGAAAGAAAGAGAGAAAACACGTGAGACAAGCTATCGCCCTGATAGCCATATTTTCAACACGTCTCCCCTTTATCAGCTAAATAAAGTATACAATGCGATGTGACCAATACATGGCCTACAAAGGTCCTCATTCCAGCACCGTTGATTGTCTCCCAGAGTGAGTAAGACTTTGAAAAGTGCCACCAGCTCTTGATCTGCATTGACTGTAATACTATTGATACCATGCAAGGTACGGCACCTAAAAAAGAAGCACCTGCACTATTGGGCAGAAACTCACCTAGCTCAATATCTCTTATTCCCATGAAAGATTCTAACAGCTCATCCACCAAAGCTGATGCTTCACTGGTCCATGTTGTCTCCTGCAGGAACAAACATAATATTGCAGCAAGTATATTAAAGAGCTTAGCCACAAGCGGAAAGCGGAAAGCGGAAAGGTGGTTCTTGACCAGGGAGTTGTATGACTCCTTGTTCTTGACCTGATCGTTACGCGAACCCGTCGAATTTATTTATTTATAAGAGCTTAGCGTGAAATCATCACAGGCCAGGATGTGATGTGTTTGACCAGGGAATGGAATGCATTACCACTGGTACAATGTGATCGGTTCAGCAAGACTGATTATGATACTACCACATCACATGTGGCGATACCGGGAAAATCAGAGTGGAGCGGGTAAAGTGTGTTCTTACATCCGGTAGTGTTTCCAGTACGGGTGGCCCGTCGGCACGTAGTCTCAGCGTGGTGCGACCGGTTCCCACTGTCTCCTCGGTGCTTGAAGCAGCCTTGGATGCTGCTGCTCTCGGTGCAATGGCATCTGTATGCGCGGGAAACACACAAACACATACGTAATGATGAGCAATCTAAATTCAAACCTAACCCTGACTAGCTTTCCAAACTACTGTCATGGACGCGGAAATCCGGTCGCTTGACGCGGGGCCGGCGCCCTCAGTGCGTACAGAGCGCTGCATGCACTGACTGAGTGCACATGTTGATCACATGCGTACTCACGGCTGCATGACCAGTGCCCTGGGCTGCTTGACCTCCGGCCGTATTTCCATGTCCACAACAGTACATGACTGTACTTCTGCAACTTTTCCAGAATGATACCACTAAGCAGAAATATATATATAGCCTAGAGAGCGTGTGTGGGCAGGCGTGTGTTTACCACCATATTGCCAGGTGTGTCTTTACCACCATATTTATCAACCATAAGTACAGCTGCAGTGGTGTCTTCAACTTCATTCTCCCGAGTCAAGCTCCGTATGAAGACATCCAAGAAGAAGATTGCCTGATGAGTCCAGCGGGGACGAAACGTACGTCGCAATCGAGCTATGTCGTTGCCGTGTCATCATCTATGTGCCATGCGCTACTTGATGTACCAGCCTGCTATGCCGGATACCGCCAGCCATGCATCGACCAGGCGCCAGGCGCGAACTGATGGTGGTGGTGGTGAGATGGAGAGCTCTGTGCCAGAACTTTGCAGCCTAGAGAGCGTGTGTGGGCAGGCGTGTGTTTACCGCCATATTGCCAGGTGTGTCTTTACCACCATATTTATCAACCAGAAATATATACTTCAATTAATAATGCCGGACAGAAATAGTTCTGTATCTTGAAAAGGCTTCCTCCAAGCCAACACTGCCTCACGTTTCACTCGCTGATAAAGCCTTGATTGTAAGGCATGTTGAGCTAGTTCTTGTTTCATGGTACAAGACCAGGTCTTGGGAGTGCTTGCCCATGCTTCCCGGCTGATATACGCCGCGCAAGTCCGGAAATCAGGTAGTTCAGTTGTGTATCACTCCAAAGCAGTACTTCACTGCTCTGGACTGACATTGGGCATGTAGATGTCTGGTGATGCCGGGATACAACACACACACACACACACACACACACACACACACACACACACACACACACACACACACACACACACACACACACACACACACACACACACACACACACCGAATATGCAACTATCTACAATAACTGGAAGTCTGCAGTGACGTAATGGGCAGATTTCCAAGAGTCGCCAAGTATCAGAACAACGTCGAACACATGCTCACATTCAAACCGCTACAATTTTGAACACTCTCGCAAAAGTAAAAAAAAAAAAAGTTTGTTAGCTGCGGCGCAAGGCTTACCAAATGCCCGATGTGGCTCAATGAGCTTCATGGTGAAGTCGCAGTGCTGTGGTAGTTCCTTCAGGAGCTTAGCCACCTCATAGTGACGAGTGCCGTACAGATTGCGACCGTTGATTGAGACAATGTGATCACCTATGCTGACCTCGGGTGTCTGTGCATAAACAGATGGGGCAGACAGAAAACGTGAAGAAAATTGGTAACTGGGCAACACAACAGGATTGGCAGACAGTAGCACAATAAACCAACAGAGTACGCTACTTTTCTGGATAGGAACTGCAGATCTTTGATACTCAATCTCCAGAAAGCTAGTTGCTTGAACCTTGTTAGATCTCGTCAGCGGAGATCAGAGTGAACGGCCGAACCGATCACAATGAAGTCTAATGAACGACAAAGCATTTTGCGTGTGTTTGGCAAAGGGATGAGAAAAAAGATGTTGTGTTGAGCAGGGCTAACAGAATAGTCTACCGTGTGTTTGTATGATTTTGCCAATTTTTCAAATTATTTATAGAAAAGAAGAAGGACCAAGGAACTGCAAGTTACGCTATAATGTCCACTAACACCACCAATTACTAAACAATCAGCTCATGCGATAACATTGCACGACACTGACCGACGGTACTGACGTTCTACAACTAACTGGCTAACAGCTCTAGCACATATTGGATGCACACTCCAACAGCCTTCCAACTTGGAAGGATCTAAGTTATAATTATGATAACATAAGAGGGGAGGGTGAGCGCAACCAAGACAAGCATGAGCATCCAAGATTTTCTAGAGCTGTTGGCCAGTTAGTTGTAGAACGTCAGTACCGCCGGTCAGTGCCGTGCAATGTTGTCGCATGAGCTGATTACTTAGTAACTGGTGGTGTTAGTGGACAATATAGCATAACCAACTTGTAGTTCCTTGTTCCTTTTTCTTTTCTATAAATTTATCCTTACGAATGCCCGGACTGGTGGAAACGAGAGAGCTTGACAGCTCAGGGCCCTCGCTATGCATCTTTGCCTAGGTCATTAAACGAAGGTGCTAGCTTATAATTGTTTTCTTTTCTCCTATTTTTGAAGACGTAACATGGGAACCCACACTACCGCCCTGCATGCATTGCCCGATACCCTTCGCATACCCACACATTCTTCCGAGTTGCTTCACGTTATGATCTTGCAGTTGAAACAACATATCCGTCAAGTACACAAACACACACACACACACACACACACACACACACACACACACACACACACACACACACACACACACACACACTACTACTACTATTGACAGCTGCCAGAAATGGCCACGCCGCTCCCCAAAGGGAGGTACTGTCAGAGAGGTTAGGGGGGAGGAAGGCAATGCTCCAAGTGGCGTTCCAGATCTTGCCGCCTCCGGAACCGTCGGTTGTGGCAAACTTGGCAGTGAAACTTGAATTGTTGGCGTTCAGCCACAGTAGGGCGCTTTGGACAGGTTCCACAACGGTGACGCTTGAGACCCGCAGCCGATTTAAATGAACGCTGACAGTTGGTGCAAGTTACACCAGGAACAACAAGAGGAGCAGGGGCAGGGGCCGGCGGCTGGTCGACATCGCCTAGCCGACACTTATGCACCGCAAAGCCTCCTCTGCTACGTAGCCATCGGTTGCATGTTGGACACTGTACTGATCCAGGCTGCTCCGATACCGGGAGCTGACGGATTGCTGAACACTTGTGCCGGACCATGTCGGAACTACGGCGGAACAGACGGTTGCAGGTTGGGCAC